TTGGTTAGGGAATAGAGATATTGGCCAAAGCCAAACAATAAAAAGTTAATTCATAAGGATTATATATATATAAAAGATGGAAAGTAAATTACATGAGTTCAGTCTAGGCTGAAATTACACAGACCATTGTGGCAAACTTATTGTAGCCTCCCAAAAAAAAATTGGCTCCAACGGAAACAAGACCATGGAAGACCCAATCGTGGGCTATATGATATTCAACCCTTGATTATGCATAATTGATAGTAATTCTAACGATTCCAAAAGATATATGTGAAGGATATGCTCACAAAAACCTCCATCCAGATTTAGGGGTCCATTTCTCATTATCAGAACAACGAGAAAACGACGGTGTGGAGAATGAGTCAGATTGTTGTTTGGTTTAACTCTATATGGACATATATTTCAACCTAAACTATTGAATTAATAAATATATATATATACATATACTCAGAAAGTTAAGAACTGGCCTGGGTCACCATGACGAACTATTAAAGTCGTCAATCCAAAACGTTCTTTTTCATCAAGATCAAGACAACGCTCAAGAAGGATCTTGAGAAAATCGAAGATTTTTTTGTTGAAGAGTAGAGTGAAATTCATCTTTGAGCAGGTAGGTGCACTTATGAATGTAAATTTGTTGTAAGCATCATCCAAGTTTTATTTCTACGGTGAGGTGAAGGCGAAGGCAGTGCCATCGTACTTATCTACATCATCTTGGGGTTGATTTAACAATGATGAAGAGGCGGCTTCCCAATGCAAGTCATAAGTCAATTTGCGCCGGGACACAGAGTACTAGAGAGACCATATACGGTGTGTTTTCGTGCTCCCCGTAAAAAAAAAACAAAAACGATGCGTCAAAACGGCTTTTTGTAACCTAGCCTTCCTGGGTACTAAGGTCGTTGCATTTCTCGGAGGTAGAAGAGATCCATGATTTCACGGAGAGATTTACATACGTTTTCACAGACTGTGCCAATTATTGATACAAAAAATCTGCATTGTCCAAAGCCGAGGGTCATTGCTACAAGACAAGAGGGGTGATGACCGGCCTGGTGCCGGCAGGTTGCACTCGATAATAAAGAATTAAATATAAAATTTATGGCGTACCTTTTTTAAGTTGATGGATGACTTCTTGTATAGAAGTATTAATGGTGATAGTCTCCTGGTGAACTAGTTCCTTTGACCTTTTCTATCACGATGTAGGAGAGTCCTCGGAAAAAGGTAGTCGTTAATTCTGCCACTTGTGGTCTATCCAAAAATTAGGACTCCTGTGTCGCTTGTACTTCTTAATCGGTTAAATATCCCGTGTACTTCGAAATCGGTTAAACATCCCGTATCAATATATATTTTTATTTTCTTCTTGCACTCGTGTTTTATGCTTGCTTAGTTAGAAATTTTATTTTATTATATTATTATGATTATTATTATTTTTCATGTTTGATATGCTTCTTAAATCAAATTCATAGGTCTATCTCTAATACAGGTCTTATATAACATAAATATCCAAGTTAAATTTATTTAAACAATTTAGAGGAAATAAATTTTAGTATTAAATTTTGGTAGTATATTTTTTATATTAAAAGCGTGTTTCAGTATTTGAGAAGAGGCCTGTATGAGTCGTACGACAAAAGTAGTAACTCATAAATGTCTATGTATTATATTATGTTATTATTCATAGGTCTGATCTGTAATTGGTGCTACTATGATTACTCTCCTTTCAAGAACACAACATTACACTACTATTGGAAATTTCATTTGTGTCACACTATATTAAAAATATATATATATATATTATAACTTCTGGAAAATAAATTATTTCTATGCATATAAGGTGAACAAAAAATTGAAATAAAATAAAGATTCAATTTTCAAAATTCATTTGAATTTGTTATGTTTGACAGATATGAAATTGAAGCTTGTGAATTAAAATTGGTGGAATTAATAAATAAATAAATAAACAACTAAGAAAATTGAAACAAAATTTTTCTCTAATTTCAATTTCAAGACTCAAATTTCATGCCGCCAAACACAACCTTAATGAGATAGACCACACATATCCAAATTATCAAATAAAGTGTAATACAATGTATATATTTGTAGACGTGGATAATTTTTTCGCCCTAAATTCTTCTAAGGATACGTGCCCTCAACCCAGTCACCCAAATCGTTAGAAATTCTTTGATATTAAATGTGATGGTTATATATCATTGGGTTTAATGTCCTTTAATAACTATAAGATTGATATACTTTTGTCCCGAAGGATATAACGGAGTTGACAGAGATAATAACTATAAGATTGATATACTTTTGTTCTGAAGGATATAACGGAATTGACAGAGATCCGGAAGGTAAGTCCTTGAGATTTCACTTTCGAATCGCCCTCTGAACTTAAATGTTGCGTGTTATGAAACCTAGATTAGCATAATTTTAAAAGATATTAATTATTAAGTGACTTTTTATACAAATAGATGTAACACTTTTTAACATGTTGACCCATAACCTGTACAAAAGAGTGGTTCTTTTATTTTGTGTTTCCATACGTCGTTAAAAGGACAAGTTACCTATGCTTTAACTACAAGTTAAAAGTTAAAAGAATGATTAATTTCACCCACACCTCGTTACCTTTTATCTTATTTTACTTACACTTCTTTTGAGTTTTAATATTTCACTTACGCCCACTCTTATTAATAGCTGTCCACTCGATTGACGGAAATGTGTACTTTTACGATATTGCCCACGAATTATATAGCGATATTTGAAAAAATTTGTAAATTAAATGAAAAAACTAAAATACCCTCATTTTTCTCTCGAATTCTCTATTCATTCACCCTCTCAATTTGAGCCTCGTAGGGAACCGGTCGGTTATAGACGTAGGCCTCTTCTCGGTACCGGAATCGAACCGAGAAGCTCATCAACGACGGTAGAAGCGAAGCCCCTGCACTTCTTCTCCAAGATCGGTCCCTTGAATCACGTTGCCGTTTCCGTCACTTAAACCTCGTTGTTGCCGTCGTGAACTGCGCATCCGCTGCCGTTAAGTAAACCTCGCCGCTGCCGAGCGATTGTGTGAGGTAAATATGTTAACGGTCGATTAATTCAGAACATGTTCGGATGCTTATTCATGGCATCCGACCGCGAAATCGCGTTGAAAAATAACATAGATGCACCATCGGAAAAGTGGAAAACGCATGGACTCAAGACTTGTCTCTGAAACTTCCAGCTCTCGCCGTCGTCATTGAAGATACCGTCGCCGGAGAAGATGGGTTTTTCAACTTTTTCTCACTCTCTCTCTTTCATGTTTTTTTCCTCGACCAGATAAAAACAAGAAGTTTCCTTATAGGTTTGCTCAAGAAAATGTGCAGGCGCCCGAATGCTCGGCGAATGAAGCAGACCGTGGTGCACCATCGGCAGCCGGCAATCTTTCAGTGATATCAGGGACTCTGATGATGAAATCCCTTCCAAAATTACAGTGAAGGTGGTCCACTATGAGACAATATGACAATATATATATATAGTTCTATATGATTATTATTGTAAATGATATATAAAAATATATAATATACACATATAGGATTGTGGAGTCCGTCCCAATTTGATTTTGCTTCCGTGGATAACCTGAAAATATATATATAGTGTATAGTTCTCTTATATTGTTTATATGTAAGCATTTGATACATATCATATATATACTTTTTTTAAGTTAAAAACTCGTACTGTAATAATTTAACAAAAAAATAAAATTTTATTTTCGATTGCATGAAGCTTGCAGTTTGACTGGAGTGATTTAATTTCTACAAACGAGATAAGTAATTCAGGTGTCATGAACCAATGCTATAGCTTCACACTAAGTATAGTTGTATTTAAATTCAGATTAAGTATGAATTATACTGTTATTAGCTGCTCAAGGGTTAAATATACATTCCAAAGGAATAGTTTTGGAATTACTCTCCAACAAGATCGCTTCTTATTGAATAAAGTGAACGTTTAGATGTTAGTGTCCGTTTTATTATTTCGCAAGTTATTTTAAAAGGGGATAAATATTTGTTGTCCATCCGTTCGTTTCAAAATCCAGAATTGTAGTGTTGAAAGAACACAAAGGAATGATTCATGTGACCTTCAAGAATAATCTATCTATCCAAGAAAAACTTGATTGGGCCCGGTAAACTGTGCACCTTACTCACACCAATTGTGCGACGCCCTAGTATGATCCACTTTTTTATAAGTGATGAATCAAGTTTTATCTGATATTTCATGTTTATATGCTAGTGATAAAGGAAGTCATTAAACATCGACTATTAATATAAAAGCTCATTCTGGATGCTTCACACCTAAGGGTGCACAAAGAATCGGTAGAATTGGAGAATCTATCGTTACGAAACCGTAGTGAACCGGTGCTTCAGTTTTGGTTCCTCACTGGTCCGATTCTAAATTTTTTGGAATTGTCAAGTTTCGATTCGGTCGGAACCAGAACCGAACTGATAATATTATATATATATATATATATATATAATTACTAATATATATGTTAATAGGATTTTCAGCTGAGTCTATCCTTATTCAGCTATGATCCAGCAACAGGACCATTATGATTTGGTTAAAAATGGAAAAAGGATATGTATACCATAAAAGCCGAGAAGATAAAGTAATACAAGTGAAATATGGTAATCTTCAGCAAGTGCTTTGCTTAAAGGAGCAGATGCAACAGGTTTTTTAGGTTGCTCGCAATCAAGGGGTGGTGCAAAGTCCACTTCGCAGTCTGTCTCAATGATACTTATCGCATTGGAAGGCTCTGTTTCAATGATGTCTATAAAATGTTTTTTACTATTGTATCCCACCATAATAGTATCTCCTGTGGTTAAGCAAGAAAAGTTTCTCAGTATTGTCTCCAAGCTGCATGAGGAAAGACCAAAAAATTAAATCAGGAGATCTATCAAAATAGTCGTACTGGGGATCTACATTTCATTCTTATACCAAATATTTCATAAATTTAAACAAGACAATACCATAAATTGATGAAACCCCCTAAAAGCTTCATTATATAAACAAACCTTGATACGGCAGAAGTATTAAATGTGATCCTCGCTACTACCAGTGGACACGTCGCATTAAAGAGGAGGGGAGGGGTTCGAGCCTGGGCATGGGCAAAAGGGGGTATGTGTTTGCTTTATTATTCAAAAAAAAAAAAAACTTATAGCATAGTTATTAATGCACCAGTACCGGTTTGTCTGGGAGCATTGTGAAATGATACACAGCACAACATCATATTATGAATTACCATCAAGATTTCCTCCCAAGCTGAAGCAACACAGACTAATGGCTGACTAAATATCATATAACCCAATTGGAAAATAAACGTGAGAATCATGAACTGACATAGCTTTTGGGTTGGAAATATCCAAGTAGTTCTTCGTGTGGGGTCGATTTTTAACATGTGTCCCCTTTGGAAGAGTCACATTTTTCACTCGCACAATGTCTCCTCCTTGTAAGAGTAGGTTCTCCAGCATCTACAAGAAAGCAATTCTAAGTAAATCATAAAAATTAAAAGGCGTCAAAGATGTTTTCCACAGCTAAACTGACCTAATCAAAATCACACAATTTCAAGCATGCACAAATAACATTATTGAATGCCTACCCAGTAAGGCATATATATTATGCCTTCTTCTGCAATGGACACCAAAACCCGACAATGAGAACTTCTTTCAACAGCAGCATTGCGAAGCTCAAACAATATTGGATAATCAATATGAAGAGATGCTGTATAATTAAGTTTTTAGCATTTTAGATCAACATTCCAAAACATAAAAATAAAAAATAAAAATAAAGTAGAACACATCCCATGACAATCATATTTAAATAAGTCAACTAACCTAGGTGGTAAGGGCTGAGGAAGACATTATAACTGAAACATCACAAAATAAAACAAAATCAATATATTCATTCAAAAATGAAGGTATGTTATATATATCAAGTGTCTGAGGTCACTGTGACTAACTTTTATCAATGTTTTCTACCTGTGATTGCAGGAAAAAAAATAAAAGATGGAATCAGAATTATGGAGAAATGTAAAACAAATTTCAAAATTTCTAGGCTATGCACAGGAAAATGAACAGAGGAAAGGGTGAAAGACATTTTTTTTTTTTTCTCAAGAAAGAGCAGGAGATGCCATGAAACCATAATTAGCATTCTGTCTGAATTTGTTACAAAATTGTAACATATGCATTCTGCAAAGTTCTACATTATCTAGGCCTTGTAAAGCTCACAAACATTTGATCAGCACTAACTTTGACTCAGTTGAGGACCAAAAAAAAATAATAAAAAAAGAAGACAAATTTTGATCATACCAAGTGCTGAAAAAATCTTTCCTATTTCCATAGCTGCCATCTCTTTCTCACGCTACAAAAAAAGTGACTGATCCAAATAGCATAGGATTGGAATTCTTTGCTAAAAATGTCCACCTGTAGAGCAAGTTAATGGATTTAAAAAAAAATTTCCAGTGTCCATCCTGGTGATCTATATCAACTACATGATCTCCTGTGTAAGGTGAGCTCATTGAAGTTTTAGTTTGCTTGTAAACTGTCATATTAGTTGTGAATTGACTTGCGGCCTCAATAGGTATCTATGGTGATTAAGAAAAATAGACAATAGATAATGCCAAAATGAGTTTTTATTGTTTTGGTGAAAGAAGCTGAGATTCATGTTTGAGTAATTCTTTGTTTAGCACATATTATCCTTTCTCTTATGTATATTACTTTGGGCTTTTAAAAATGAAACTATACCTTTTAATTGTCATAAATAAATAATGGAGACCAGGAAAGAGGACTGTAAAAATCAAGTAGTTAATAGTAGAGAACTGTGAAAAATAAAATGTATTAGTTATTAGTACCATAAGTCTATCTATACCTCTGATCACTAAAGTGAAATTCTAGAACTATCATTTGCATTCTCATGATTTAATATACAAGAGAAAATATTGAAAGTTGTTACAACGTTACATTCTTATGATTTGATATACAAGAGAAAATATTAAAAGTTGTTACAATGTTACACTTTTTGTAGGAGCATTTAGCTATATGCCAGTTAAGTGTAGGCATACCCAATCAGTTGGTCACATTTCCATACTTAATTTTACTCATATTGCATAATTAAAAAGAAAAAGTTGTTGATTTTAGTGTAATGGTATAGTGTATATTGATAAGAACTTGGAGTTAATTCTTGACTGATTTAATTATAAATCCTTCACATCAGAGGGTTAATGCAACATAATTTTATTATAGATCCTTCACTTCAGAGGGTTAATGCAATAGAATTCCACCTCAACTTGATAAGAAGATCATTCAACCTTGTAAACACATGAAAGAGCCAATGAAAAAATTATATTCCAAGTAAAATACATAAGCTCAGAAATTTAATAAATGTATGGAAGTCCACGTACTGTATTCCTAGTCAATGTGCAGTCAATGCACTGTAGGTACATATATATTATATGACAGGTCCAAAATTAAAGATCTAGGTTTCAAAGATGGATGGTGGTTGAAATTCAAAACCATGGGCTGTGCCTTGTGTGTGTATATGGATGAGTATAGTATGGACAAAAACAAGTACTAGGAGTCAAGGACTTGGAAGTTAGAAGGACAATTAATTGTTATAGATCTAAATATCAGACTATAGAAGCCTTAATTAATATTTTTTTGACCATAAAATTCTGTTCAGATCTTAACTTTGATCTCAAAGTATGGCAACCATTTGAACAAGACGTGCTGCATTACAGTTTGACAGGGCAGATTGCTCATGTGCAAAATTTTCCCGACTTATAAATGATGTAGGACAAATGCAGTACACAATTACTTGCTTTAGTACCAAACTGATGCAGGAAAGTTCTAGAAATCTCAGAATGACCATGCAACTCAATATTTCAATATTTGTTACATGCACTTTTCAAAACTGTTTGAAGTACACATGTTGGACACACAACACTAAGACATGGATGATACATGATTTAACATGCATCTAACAAGCATATCAGACAAAATTTCCATTGTTAATCAGATTTTCCTAACTAAAAAAACCAGAAAATAAACTCAGAAATTTTTTAGTTCTAAAGTAATATAAGAAATTATACACAGTTCTCTATCATTTCTGGGATCATTTAAGTTAAGATGAGGTTATGTTTATAATGATGCAACTTTTCATGAGCTTCTAAAATTCATCCAATGCAGTTTTCTCACAAAGATTAACCCGTGAATTGAATGCATTGCACTACAACCAGCCAGGCAGCCACACATACAAGTTCATAACACACAATTTGCAAGGGAAAATAATCTTCAACTTTCTAAGCATAGAATGCATTGTCATGGACTACCTTGTGGATTAAAAACGACAGTGAAGATAAAAGAAAAGAGACATCTTATCAAGCAGCTTAAGTTATTTTACATTTCATTCTCACTTTCCTAACAAACCAAACACGTAAGTCTTAATTTTCAATCAAGTAACAATGAAGAAGGAGGAGGGGCAATTGACCTTTGCTGTAGACTGCAACCATAAACCATAGAGATTCTGATCCTTCTGCTCCTAATGAACTGGTGATAATGGATCCTGTAAGAAAAAATATTTTAAAAATGTAATACCAAAAAATATATAAAAAATCAGATCGTATGTTAATGACTACTAAAAAAAAAAGGGGTAGTGAATGCCTAATTGACCTCTAGAACTTTCACATATTTCTTAGGCCATACAACCGTGCTTGTGTTAGCATCACGAAGATAAATATTTCCAATTAGGTCTGCTCGGTACAAAGGACATATTGTTTACTAGTCACTGATTCAGGTGATAAGTCATATTGGTAGCAACTAGCAAGACCATATTATCTTTGATGTGGAGATTTCTGGGTCCTTTAGTGGCCTTAGCTTCTTCAGTCAAGTAGAAGGAACCCACAAGCAACTAGCCTTTTGGGTGTGAAGTTCACCCAGTAATATTAGAACCGATCCAGTACTACCATGTCAGGTCCAATAGTACATGAACATCAAGAAGCCCACTACAGGAATGAGACTTTTACAACATAGCACAAAAATCTCTGTAATCTGGCTTGAAGCACATATATAGAGTCCTAAGAAAAGCTTTTGGTCGACCAATTAATACATTCCGATATTTTAAAAAACATGTATGAGAGAGGATTCACTAGAAACCTCTTGCCCTTGGGCAAAAGAATTGCTATGTCACATTCAAATTCTTGATTTCTTCAGAACAGTTTTGTCGGTTCCCATTTTGAGATAAAATAAGCTACATAGAATTCTTGAAATTATTGGGACATGTAATTCATACCTAACTAAAGCAGTCAAAATTTTCAAAAGTAATCTTATTCTTGAGGATATGGAATTCCTAACACCATTCTAAAGCAGTTTAAATAACTAAAACCAAAATTGTATGCAAATATCTAATCCATGCAAGATGCACAAAAAGGTCACCAGATAAATATCTGCATCTTTTTTCTTAAGAGTATTATTTATCCACATACTCTAAACAAAAAGAATACTGAAGCCTAATATATATTGGGAAAACAGTGTAAATGATGAAACAAATTATAATTTAATGCATTAAATTCACTTTTGCTACTGTGAATTTCACTGGATTTCAAATTATGTTACAACACAATGCAATAAATTTTTATTCTTATTCAATGTGATATTACTATGACAGCTTAGCGCTTGAAAATCTTGAAGGTAAAAAAACAATATCTTCAGAGGGATTGTTTATGCCTGGTATTTTTTTCCCAGGTACCATTTGACATTCCAAGTTTGGAGTGTGAGTGACACTGAAGGCCAGATTTTATTTTAGGGGTTTGATGAGAGCAACTTTTGAAGGTTGTTATTGAAGGGTTATGAACTTGGCAATAAATAGAAAAGGATGAAATGATTTCAATATTACAGAGAAAAACGAAAGGTGTCTATAAAGCCTTGTAACGATAGCTTACATATCCTACCTATTATGCTTCCTTTTAAGAGACCTTTCGTTAAAGAAAAAGAGTCATAAACAGGTTCACTCTAGGATCTATAAGAAAGAGGAGTTACAACTTACAAGTAACAGGCAAGAGAACTCTGTTCATGGCCAGTATCACTCACTCCTACTGCTACTTCTATTGCTATGATAGAAGTCAAGTCTGGCACTTATTATGGCCTTCTGTCTACATAGCGAAGAAGGGCAAAGGCTCTTGGTCATATGTGGGACTGTGGCACGCCTTTTGCCCAGACAAGACGCTCAAAAATGTATGTTGGGTTGAGTACGAATGCTGTGACTAGGAAGACAGATAATGGAATTGAAAGAAGTCCTAATAAAAAGAATTGAACTCCAACCAACCGAGTGACGAATTTGGATGGAGTCTTGCAGAACTTATCTTTACCGTGTAGGGGCGCTAGTGTAAGGGGTATGTTACACTACAATCACAGATACGATATTATGAAAAATGAAGTAGAGAAAGTTCAAAAGCAATAATAGCACAACTTAGGTCAAATAAAGTGTGCATTTTAATCATCCAAAAGTACAGGTAATGATGGTAGCAAATTTAACCAAGAAAAGAGAAGGCAAAGTTAAAAAATCCTGCACCTAGATAGTATTCACTGTTAATATTAAACATTTATTCCTCTTTGAATTCACTGTTGCTTTTACCGACTTAAGCATCCGAGATTATTTGGCAGTACCATATTGGTGTTAAGACCTCTCTTCCATTTTACAGGAAATCCCATCCACTCTTCTGCACGTGAATCACGCCTAATTGCTGAATCAGATTTGAACCCCAAGAATAACTACTAAAAAATTAAGCAAGAAAAATTAAACAACATAAACATAATGAAACATGTACATCAGACTAAATTTTTGGACTAGTTTTGGGCCACATGCCAAAATTTGAACCCAACTCTATTGACCAAGGAATGCCCAAGCCTAATAACCCATTTACAAAACTTCATCCTAGGTTCCTCAAAAGAATAATGCCAAAAGTAACAAAGATGATTTCTTTCTCATCACCCCATATATATCACCAATTTATTGTGATTGAACTCAATCACTAGCATCATCAGATCACTCAATTTTACTGATTCTGATGCGCTTCATGGAGGTGTTCATAAACCTATCAGCAACAGCCTACTGTATACACATCCCACTCTCTTGCTGTTCAAGACCAGCCATGTAGTTCCTTATATTTTAATCAATTCAACCCCTTTATCATGTTTATTATATATGTCCAATATCAAATAAATCAAATATAAATGTACTTACAAAATCCCAAATCATGAACTCAATTCCATATTGATCATATAATGTGACTCTGCTAATGCAACAGATGACAGAACGGTAAGAACCCAACCCAGAAACACCAGTGCAAGCCCAATAGTTGAAAACTATCTAGGAAGTGTTCATTCAGATATAAATTGAAAACCCTAACCCCAATTTTGTAACGACCCACTCCACCATATGATATAATATTGTTCGCTTTGGACCTGAGCCCACACGGTTTTACTCTTGGACTTTACCCCAAAAGGTCTCAAATGGTATTAGAGCCTAACCAACCAGAAGTGTGACCAACGATGACGTTGGGCCCCAAATAGGGTGTGATTGTGGCAACCTTGTGCTTGGGTGTGTGTGAGCGTGAACAAGTGGCACCAGTAGGCTACCACGCTGGGCGACTTACAGGTGCACAATTCCACATCGTCTGGGTGTGGAGGGAGCAAGTATTATATGTAGATTCAACACTCTTTACGACATAACACGTTTTAAAGCTGTGATGGACGTGACCCCACCAGAACTCCAGAATTAAGCGTGCTTAACCTGAAATAGTACCAGAATGGATGACCTCCTGAAAAGTCATCCGAGGTAGCCAAATGCAGACAATATTGGATGAGGGTTGTTACAATTTCATAATACACGTAAAAGACTACCTCTAATTTCATAAATACATCAAGAAAATTGAAAACCCTAACCTGTTCTTTAACTCATCTGGCCAGTTCTAACCTCAAAATCGCATCAGATGTATCATGTATTCCTCAAATGAAACAAATCACGAATCAACTCACATTTATACACAAAAACACATAGATATATATATATACACACACAACCATATGTGCATAAAAAAGTATAGATATAGAGAAAAACTTGCAAAAAAAGTTTAGAATGCAAGCCCTATTAATAGATGGAGATTGGGGCTTATCGATGATGAAAATCATAGAGAAAGGGTTTAGATACAACGATGAAAATCACAATGAAAGGCAACTGTAACAAGGTACCTTCGTCCATGCTCGATCGCTGGTAGAATTCAACTTCAATGTTCGAACTCGCTCGCTGCTAGCTGGTTGCTGGTCTTCGTCGCTCCCCTACTGCAGAGAAATGTGTGTATGTGTCGCTGCGCTTGAGTATTTTTTTTTTTTTTTTAAACTTTTCTTTTTTCAATGTATATTTTTAAAGTGGACTTTAATTGTGGCCAACTCATTTGGCGCAGGAGTTAAAATTTGGTGAAAGCTTTATTGCTTATTCACGGATAAAAAAATATCCCTTAATTGCGTAATCTTCAGACTTTATCAACGAGGAACATTTGCCCTTAAAGTTGGAGAAATGCCCTGCTAATATATGTAAATTAACAATTACGAGGACTCTCTTATAAATCTCGTAAAAAATAACTACCACTAGACAAAACATAAAAACCTGCAAGTAAAACCTGACCGAGCAACACCAAAGGTCCCCGGGTTCTGTTTTCCATAACTACTTGTTGAAGTTGATGGTTCTCTGTTTGACATTTTTGTTGTATCTTGTTTTTGTTCCATTTTAGGTGCTTCTGTATCAATCGTCTTGCCATTAATTTATTTATTATTTATTTATTTATTATTATTTTTTAATCCTGACAAGAAAACAAGCCAAACGCCATACGATATCTACAGGCAAAGACACAGAACTAACAACACATAACACCAACAAACACAAATCCAACAAAAACGAACTGACATCCCTTATAGTCTAGATCACAGTCTTGACAAAACAGGACAAGGTGTCAAAAACATTAACCCTGGCCAAGGGATTAAAGCTAAGTGGGCACACAACATTTGGAAACCGTGCAAACATCCACAACAACATTAACTAGCAAGATAGACAATCCTTAACTGCCAACTCAAGAATATCTTCTGGGAAATAAACAAGAGCCAGATCATGAGGAAGGAAATCTCTGGACAACTTTGCAATTGCGTGAGCAACGGCATTGCCATTTCGATTAAAATGGCTAAGACGAGAGAATGAAAATCTCTGAAGCGCGACTTGAATATCGAAGGCAATATAATGAAGTTCTGTCAGCCTAGGAGCATCACCCATCACTGCTTGAACCACAACCTTAGAATCACATTCAAACGAAACCTGAGAAACTGAACAGGAACCTGCCCAAAGAATAGCTTTGTGCAGACAAATAGCCTCAGCTAAGGTTACACTAGCCGCAGGAAAAGGAGAAAACACCACGGCCTGCACAATAGTGCCCAAATAATCATGAAAAACAGCTACACCACCCCCAATCCAAGAAGAGGCCAAAAATGATGCATCCACATTACATTTAAGCACACCCTCTCCTGGAGGCAGCCAGCGTGTAGAAAAAAAAGAAGAATACGAAAAAAAGCGAGAATCAGATAACCCAGGAAACAAGCAATCACTAGAAGATGATGAAGCAGTCTTAAATTCCCAAAACTGTAAACAAGCCATCAAAGCAACCTGGCGAGCATCCCATTTCACCTCCTCAAAAACAAACTTATTTCTGGCCTTCCAAATTCCCCAACAAAAATAGGCCACCAGACCCAACCCATCCAGTACCCCATCCAGATCCTTCCACTTTCTAACTAAATGCAGCCACCGAGTAGAGAAGGAGGAAGGAGGAACAGACGCAAAATCCAACCTAAGCAGAGAAATCTTCCACACGTGGATGGAATGAGGGCATAGAAATAACAAATGCTTAATGGATTCCTCATCTATGCCACACCTAGGATACCACCTTCGCCTCTAAACCATGAGCAATAAGAAGTCAATGAACTAGAAGAGCCCTCTGACAACACTTTCACAAAAAATGTTGAATTTTAGGTTGAATTGGGCATTTCCAAATGCTATTCCAAAACAACTTATTAGAAAAAACAACCAGAGAGTCCTCCTGAGCTCGACCACTAACCTGACTTTGAAGACGATAAGCCAAACGATAGGCCAAACGCACTGTAAATGCCCTTGTGGGCTTGAGATCCCATGCCAACTTGTCATGTCTGGAAAACATGCTGAAAGAACACCTAAGAATAGCAGCCATAGTAACCGACGGAAATAAAGAAGAAAGCAACTTCACATTCTAGCGAGTGTTGATAGGATCAAATAAATCCGCTACCAAATTTGGCCCTGTTAAACGAGGAAGCTTAGACAGCTTTTCGGGGATACCGGGAACCCGATGATCAGTCCATATATTAATAGATTGGCTATTCCCCACAACCCACTTGGATCCCTCGATAATGAGATGTTGTGTAGACCAAATACTCCGCCAAGCCCAAGATGGATTGGACCCCAACGGCGCATCCAAAAAGGAACATTGGCGAAAATATTTAGCCTTAAACAACGCAAAAGCTAAACCCTGTTGATTTTCCAGAAAATTCCAACCATGCTTAACCAACAAGGCATCATTAAAAGCCTCCAGATTGCGAAAACCTAAACCCCTTTCTTCTTTAGTAGCATATAATAAATCCTATTTAACCCAGTGAATATTATGAAAGTCTCATTTTTTACCCCACCAGAATCGCCGGACATGTGTTAAAATGGCATTACACAATTTACGAGGCAACTTAAAACCAGACATCACATATATAGGTAATGCACTCAAAACTGATTTAATTAAGGTTTCCTTACTAGCCGGGGACAAATAAAGGGATTTCCAAGTTATTAGTCGATTCTCCACGCGCTCTGAAATGAATTGAAAAACATCACACTTAGATCTTCCTATAATTGCCGGCATTCCCAAATATTTTGCACTATGCCCTTCCTCTCGAATTTCCAACAATTGACATAAAGTATGTCGTACCTAACTACTGGTATTTTTGGAGAAAAAAATAACGGATTTAAAGAAATTAATCTGTTGTCCCGAAGCCCGCTCGTACCGCTTAAGAAGATTTTTGAGAAAGGCTACTTCAGAATGGGAAGCCTGGCAAAAAACAATCGAATCATCCGCAAAAAATAAATGTGATATAGCTGGCGCATGGGGACAAATACAAATACCAGATAGAACTCTATGCTAAAGAGCAACCTGCATAGAAATAGAGAGAGCTTCTGCACACAAAATAAATAAATATGGAGACAATGGATCCCCTTGTCTAAGCCCGTGTGTAGGTCAGAACAAACCCACAGGGCGACCATTAATCACCATAGAATAAGACACCGTTGAGATACAAGCATTAATAATTTTAATCCAATGAGAGTGAAAGCCCAATTTCTCAAGCATGGCCAATAAGAAAAGGCCATTCAATACGATCATAGGCTTTACTTATATCAAGCTTCAAGGCCAGGAAAGCCTTTTTCCCTTTACGCTTACTTTTAAGATAATGCAGTATTTCATGAGAAAGCAAAATTTTTTTGCCATTGGCTTACTGTGTCCTCTTTTTGGACAATGCACATTTTTCTTTATTTTATATAAAGCTTACCCAATCAACGTAAAAAATAAAAAATAAAAAGTTTCAAAAGTCACTTGCACCGGCTATAAGTGGAGATCACATTCAACTAAAAAAAAGATTTCAAAAATTTTAAGTTGCCCTTTGGCGAATTTTCAAATGAAGGTCCTTTATACATGATGTTTCACACATGCAAAATGTTTGAGCCATTTACATTTGTGTGTAACATTTTTTTTTTATTATTTTTTTTTACCATGGTCCTAAATTTAAGACCCTTTCAAATTGAAGGCCCTAACCAACTGCGGCTAGGTCAACCCATAAGAGTATGATCCTTTCAACTCTATTACTCCCTCTATCCTATATTAGTTGTTCACTTCAAAAAAATATATCATATTCTTTTTATATACTTATTGTAACCAGTAGTGTTTGTCTATTTATCCAAAAACTTAAGTTATTTTCAACAGCTAAACTGACCTAATCAAAATCACACAATTTCAAGCGCACTCATAACATTATTAAATGCCTACCTAATAAGGCATATATATTATGCCTTCTTTAGCAATGAACTCTAAAACCCCACAATGGAACAATGTTCCACAACAGCATTGCAAAGCTCAAACAACATTGGATAATCGATATGAAGAGATGCAAGATTTAGTTTTTAGCATTTTAGATCAAAATTCTAAGACATAAAAGAAAGGAAAAAAAAAAATGATAAACCAAAGTAGAACAAAATTTTAACTTTTCCTTTTTAAAAATTGTAGACACTATTTAGATAGCAATTTTAACTTTTCTTTTTTAAAAATTGCTTCAGATTTTATTGTCCAAAACATGACACGTTGTTCCAAACTTTTTTTTTTTTTTTTTTTTTGGAATTTTAAGCAAGTATATATTATAAATGTAATAGTAATTACAGTATGGGCCTTTTGGCCAAACAGCCTATAAGGGAGTACAAGCCCACTTTAAGACAAAACATTAGGGTCCAGGCCCATGTAATGAAACCTAACATTAAGCAATAACTAAAAACCAAAATTAACGGCCTTTAACTGCTGTTAATGGTGGTTATTGGCTGTTCAATCTAGTGAGTGCTCTAGGGCATTGATTCAGTAGTCCAGCGGATAAGGATGGGGTCTACAGCGAGAGGGGTAGATGTTCTAGTCTCAGAGAATTTTACTGGATGTAATGCAGTCTTGAAGGAAACCAAGCCTTAAAATTGCAGTGATGGTGGAACAGATTCGAGCAAGGACAACCCTCTGAGATGATTTCTTCTTCTCAAAGATCCTTTCATTCCTTTCTTCCCAAGTATGATACACCATGGCTGAGAAGTACACTTTCCTAAAAAGGTTTGGAACTAATTTTGTTTTCCATCTCACACTAATACTATGTATGAGCTCCTTCCTATTTGCGATTGATGTGTAAAAGTGGCATTTATCTTTTATGAATCGCCAAATTGGGGAAGTAAAACAACATTTGAAGAAGATGTGATAATGTGACTCTGGGTGAGCATGATAGAGGGTACACACCTTAGTATGGTTTCCCATTGATCTACTGTCAAGAGTTGGCAATCTGGATTGCACTGTTAGCCATAGATTAAGCTTCATTCTAGGGATTATTGGCGATCACCACACCAAATTGTGCCATTGGACTAAGGGGTAGTGTCCTGCAAGGAAAGAAGTTGTGTGACTAAGGCTGAATAGTCCTGTTGAGGATGCAATCCATTTCTTCTTGCCTCTCCTAGATGGGACTGGGGGGTGTAAGTGGAGCTTCTCAGGTATAGAGGATGTGATAGAAAGAGGGAATTACCAAAAGGAATCCACAATGAAATTATCCAGAGTAGTAGATTAAGTGAGAGCAGCTTGTGAGACGATTAATGTAGGGAACCTCGTGTATAATGGTCCTCCTGGAGCCCAATTATCCAACCAAAATGAAATGTCTGAGCCATTACTAATGGAATGCTTTAAGAGAAGTCTTGCTAGATGTCTAAGTTGCAGCAGCTTCTTCCAGCTCCAAGAACAAGAGTGAGGGATATTAATTTCCAACAGATTCTTTGATTTGATTAAATGAGTGTTGCACCATTTCATGCAAAGTCTGTCATTGTTGTCAGTTTGTAAATCCTAAATGAACTTCACAATCCTAGCCTTATTTGACAATTCTAAGTTTGGAATCCCCAAACCCCCAGCTTTTTTTGATCTACAAACCTTGTCCTAAGACACTTTAACTCCTCTGAATTTCATTTCAGGTCTTGACCAGAGAAATGATCTGAATATCTTGTTGAGTTCATTAATCACTGCTTTAGGTAGGATGAAAATGCTAGACCGATGGATTTGTGTTGAAACTAGGACAGCCTTGATGAGTTGTAACCTTCCAGCATAAGAAAGTGACCTAGAAGACTAATGTGATACTCTTTTGGTGATATTCTCAATTAAGAGGCTTTAGTGAGAGGAATTGAGGTTAGTGGAAATCAGTGGTACCCCTAAGTACTTAAATGGGAGTAAGCCTGCTTCAATTCCAAGTAAAGAAGTGATTAAGTGATGAGTGTGTTGGTTTACTCCTGAGAAGAAAATTGTGTTTTTGGATGTGTTAATGTTAAGACCAGACATTGTGTTGAAGTAGCCCAATGCTGATTTAATCACTAACATTGAGGTAATATCTCAATAGCAAAAGAGGAGGAGGTCATCTGCATATGATAGGTGAGTAATCTTCAGGTCTTCACATCTTTAATGGTACTTGAAATCCCTAACCGTGCTCACAAAATTGTTAATGATAGAGGATAGTGCATTCATCACTATTACAAAAAGAAGGGGGGAAATAGGGTCTCCTTGTCTCAACCCTCTCTTGCCCTTGAAGTAGCCATTGAATTCACCATTAATTGCAATGGTAAAAGAAGGTGAGGAAATACAGGCATGGATGAGAGAAATAAATTTACTTGGGAATTGTTGAAGTGTTAAATAACTTAAGATGAAATCCCACTTAACAGAGTCAAAGGCTTTCCTTAGGTTAATCTTAATTGCACACTTGGCAAGTCCATTGTCTCTGTGGTAACCACTTAATTGTTCATGAACCAGAAGGATTAGATCAGTGAACTTCCTTCTTTGGATGAAGGCTGATTGAAAGCTGTCAATGATATGAGGTAGATTGGATTGAAGCTTGGTTGTAAGCAGCTTTGCAATGCACTTATACACTGTATTACAACAAGAAATTAGTCTGTAATCATGTATGGATGATGGGTTTTGGCATTTGGGGACAAGTGAGATGTAAGTGTTGTTTATTTCAGAGAGTAGTTTCCCATTTGTGAAGAACTCAATGATGGCTCTAGTAATTGATCTACCCATAATTCCCCAACTTTTTTGAAAGAAGTGTTGTTCATAAATATGGTCTAATTATACCATATACTATAGTATTATTTATTTAAATATCTTGTTAAAATATGATGTTTATATATATATATATATATATATATATATATATATATATATATATATAATAATTATTATAAAATAGTAATCTATATATATAATTTTTTACATTATATAGTTTAATATAATAAAATAAAAACTATAAAATAAATTAACCTGATTAAAAGTGGAGTCTAGAATTTGATTCTATATCCTTAAAACAGATTCACCCCGCTATTGTGCTAACGGACTCAATGGCGTCT